CCAGTGAAGTGCTTCAAAGCAGGGTATGGGGAAGACCGGTTTAGGGCCACTCCATCTAACTTCCTACCTCCATGACCATGGAGGTAGGAAGTAAGACGCAGTGGCATGTTATATCTTTAACTGTTGAGATTTGTTCATAACAGGATCACCAGGCTTCTACCAATCTGGCAGGAGCATACTCAAAACCATGTGATTTATAACAAAATCGATCATGTTTTCACCTTGCAAACCTTTATAAATGTTCCAAATTTTCTTAAGGATTCATTCTTAATAATCTTATTATTTAGAAATGTGTTTATTGTTGTTTTTATATTAACAACAGCACTTAAATATAAAATATCAATTTTAAAAATAACTGAAGTGTTCTTTTAATCAGTTTTGCTTTTCTAATGCTGTTTTTAATTATTAATTTATATCTGAGCCAAAAATTCAAGATTAAGTCTATTAAAAAGGTATGTGTGATAAGTCTATTAATTAATTACATTGTACGGACTTCATCATCTTTGAATATGAAACATTGAACTAACACTCTGAATATGAAGCATCCTATATGAAAACACTGAGTCCATTCCAATCTAATACAAGAATAAATTATACTTATCAAAATCACAGTACGAGATTCTCCGTATTATATTATACAAAGATTAGAAACCAACTCTCCACATAGGAAATCTTACACTGACATGATGATCTTGTATTGAAACAGAATTGTAGCAACATAGATGATGTGAATGACATTATGCCAAAGAATTATTTTCATTTCTTAAATAAATTATAGCATTTAGAGTAACCAAATTTCAGATTTGTTGTAAAATTGGTGCCATGTCTTTCCCTATGCTATAATAACTTCACACATTATCTACATATTTTTCTTGTCAGTCAAGAAGATTGATGGAAATATTGTCCTGACAAAATTATTCTGACAGATATTTGGAGAAGCAGATATTTCTTTTTGAGAAGACATAGAAATTTCAACATTACTAGAATATGAAATTCAAAGTTTATCATTAACGTTAAAATACTTAACTTTTATATGTATCATGCTACAAATTTTCATTTAAATCATTGCTAACATGAACTGAAACAAAATTTTACTTTCTGCAGGTTAAATATGCATGAAAACCTAATTGTAGATGTATGTGTATTAATATTTAAGAGATAATGAGCTATAATGATTTATACTTCAATACACAAATAAGCATGTATTTTTCCGAAGAACACACATACACATTTATATATATTATATATATATATATATATAAATATAAGAGAAGAAATTTTGCATATGTCTATAAATAAAACTTTTCTTACAAGAAAAAATGTAATCAGTTTTTTTTTTTTTTTTTTTTTTTTTGTTTTTTTTTTAATTGCTTAGAAAACACTTTCATTTAATGTCCAAATTCCTTTCCAATTCGAAATACGCGAATCCACTCCTTTCTTCGTTTTGCTATCTTGTTCGATATTTTTCGAACCAAGAATCCGATGGAAGCATAAATCAGGTTCCTTGCAAGCTCGTGAATTACACTGGGGTACATAACAAAACGTGTGGTCTGTACTTCTTTCTAAATTATACATAATACCCACAACAATCAAAAATAAACGTATAATTATTTTTCGATCACAACACGCTTCACAAACTACGTAGTATTTTCAAACCTAAATACCGATTTTTAATGTTTCCACCTTTTAGCCACTAGATGGCGCATGAGAGCGCTGGAATCGCGGATACCACAGGGATGAAAGCGCACATAGACAAAATCGTACATCAATAAAACCCGCATTGGTATTAGCTCATATTGATAAAAGCTCACATTGGCAAAAGTCCATTATATGCCACAAAGAAGATTAATAATTTTCTCATTATTTTCGGTTTATAGAAAGCAAATTCATGAAAAATATACCAAGCAATTCAAGGATACTCATAATGCTCAAAATATCATTTCGTCCAACATTCGCTTTTCTGACGATCACATATTTCTCTTATAACTTATTTTTATAACGGCATTTTTTTTATAACACTTATAATTCTTATAACCTATCTTTACTTTGCGTCAAATCACTTTTTGCGGGGCATCATTTTTCAAATAACCTATGGGTACTTATAACGTTAAAAAATTTATTACTTTCGAATTTTTGCTTTTCAGATAAAAATATACATCAGTTATAACGTTTATGAAGCTTATCACGCGTATAACACTTTGAACTTATCCTCACAGAAGAAGAAAGGATGGCAACGCGAGAAAAATGCCTGAAAAAGCTAGGAGGAAACAACAAAATTTGTAAAAACGAAGAATGCTGATTTAAAGAAGTGGTACCTGAGAAAGAATATAGAAAACAAGATGGGTCTATCACATCTTGTCGTTTATAAAAAACGACATAAAGACGATGTCATTACGAAGACGATATTAAATTTTAAAAAGAAATTTCCATTTAAATTATTTAGTTCTAATGCGACTTTAAAACCTGAAGCCCTTAAGATTTTTTAAATCTTTTTATAAAATTTTATATGAATTTTGCAAATTTTAAATTTAACATCGAAAATCTGAAATTTAATATTGATTCATAAAATCAATGCATATCTTATTTCCGCATGAATATTACTATCATCATGCGCAAGTCTTCTATAAAGTCGAGCCCGAGGGATATACGTCTGAAATACACACAAAAAAAAAAAAAAAAATACTTGTTTAAAGAAAGGTTTATTAAGGGATTTCATTTTAGTGAGTAGAATAGAAGCTTTTCTGTATAAATATTTTTGCTTATTAACATTATTTTAAACACATTATCTAAATTTTTAATGCATAAAAGAAACATATTGTTTAACAATTGTATTCAAAGAAGAGAATAAGGATCCGCTTGTTTCTTTCCTTTAGAAATTCTGAACTACATTCACATTACTTTTTATATGCTATACTATTTTCTAATATATACTAGCAATATTAACGTTAGCTGCAATGACGATTTTTTACTTGCTTAGTGAGTTTGCGTGTTTATGGTAGAGGTCAATGATAGAGGATACAATAACCGTTCTGTAACTTTCATCATATATATTATTTCTGTATCAAAATCCTTTTTTTCTTTCTAACTACTATATTGTTACGAAATGTACAGGCGCGATGAGATAGCTTCCCCCACAAAGCAGTTTTAGGGTTGCCATAAAATAGCAAAGAAGGCAGGGTTGCCACTTTTGGAGAGAAACCGCCCATTTAGCGACACTTGACGACAAAATTGGCGATATGCCATGGACGGATGGAGAACTTTCTGGGACCAATTCTTACCGGTTTAGCCTAGAATGTTCTCGAACACAAGCCGAAAGCTTTATAAACCCTGCTGGTCCGTAGTCAAGTAGGCCTTGTCGAGAGGGCGAGTGAGAGTGCCTCGTCGAGTGCGAGGTAGTTAATATCGAGTTGGTGTTTCGTCTAGCGAGTCAATCCCTGCGTCGGTCGAGTTGACAGCCGAGGAGCGAATGCCGAGTGGGTCGTCGAGTGCACCAAAAGAGTCTCGTAGTGTATTGCGATTAGTGCATCGTCGATAGAGCGTGTTGAGCTCCGGGTACGACTGAACCGAAGAGTAGGAAGCTGTGCTCTGTGTGTCGTCGAGTGCATCGCGAGTTGTAGCGTGGAGAGACTCGAGAGTACGGGGTGTTCCGAGAACGACCAAGCAGAGTCGGGAGGTATACTCTAGTGCTTTGCCGTGAAGCTGTCTCCACCGTGATAGCCTGATAACCTGGAGACTGTGTCGCTGACCGTGTCAGCGTGTTTATAGTAGTTCATCGACGACTGTAAAAACGTGTTTTGGAGCTGTCCTGACAATACAGACCCATAAAGTGTGTTTCGATACTGTATCGAGTAGTGTCGTCGTAATTCACTCTAAATCCACACGAACCCGTAAAGAACGTACCGAAGGACGAAAATAACGTAACAACTGGTGTCAGAAAAAAAAACGTAACAATATAAAGAAATGTACAGAATCTTTCTAAAAAATTGCCGAAAAAAATCAAGAAAGCTACTTAATACCAATCCCAAAATATAGTGTTACAAATTTTGTACATATATAAATAATTTTAGTAACATTATATGTAAAACAGTAGCATCTTCCGTATAATGTAATATTAATAGTCTACCGGGAAAATAAGATTACAAGGGAAAGTCTCTTTAACATTGAGGTTAATGCCTATTTCACTAAATTGGTGAGATATCTCCAAAATGGAGATGGTTTCGGCGATTAATTTTTATCGCCAAATGTCACGAAAAATCGTCATATGTAGCCACATGCGACATTTGGATCAATGATCGCCAAGATCGACGCCAAATGATTGACACTTTTGGCGACTTTTGGCGATTTCTCGTAAAATTTGGGGACAAAATTAGTCGCCGAAACTTTCGCCAGCTTGCCAATTTTAGGGAGATCATTTACGTCAATGTTAAATATACTTGTCCCTGTAATCTTATTTTTCCGACAGAGCTTAGTCTCATCAGACTTTTCATGTCGCATTAGACAAAAGATACCATAATTTCACACATAATTTCAATAAAACTATTTACATATATGGAAAATTCGTAACAATATTAATAATAATAGCTGCATCACTCTCTACAAATTTTATATTGCTTGTTTCACAGTTAATTTATAAAAATGTCAGTACGCTTTGGCACTGTTAAAAAAATTACAAGGACCGATTTTGAAATGTAACATAAAAATCTCTTCCGATATTTACTAAAACAATAAAAATATACTGCTTTCTCCAGCCTTTTATTTTTTTCAATCAAAAATACAACACAATACGGATTATTGGCACAAAAAGATAAAAGATTGTTTTTATTTCGAACAATCGTTTATTTTTAACGGTTTCCCCCAATATCCTCTCGGAATTGTCATTTATTTTCACGCAAGAATTACCTTTGACTGTTATCACTTCGGAATGTCATCTATAAATTCTCTCTCTGGCTTCCGAACTCGTGAAAATATTTGAGAAAGTAAATCGTATTTTCTTACTTCAGGTGCAGATTGAACTGAAATGATTCTCTTTTTCCTGTTCCTCATCAATGGATCATTGTTTTTACTCCACTCAGATGCAGGTAAGACACGACTGATAATTTGAACTTTACTTAGCATTTAGTTTTTTCGTAATCAAAGAACTTGTACTGTGTAACTCTTAACTAAACACTTTTGAGTAATTTTATATTGTAACACTAACTTTAACAAAACTGTGAAAAGGTAGAATTTCGGTTATGCAATAAAATGAATGAAATTAGCAAATATCTTTTTTCATTTAATTAATGTTAAATTTTTATTGACTTCAGAAAATAATTACATGCGACATGTCAAAATCAAAGGATAATCCGAAAAATCATCCTCATGTGTTTCAGTTTTCAATCTATATTAGAATAGTCTAATAATTTGTGTTAATTATCTGCAACTAAATACAAAACTGAACTTCTGCGTGTAGGTTAGCGTTTGAAATATAAAAAATTAGACCACTGATAATCTATTGGGCCAATGGACGTACGATATAATTAGAAGTGCATAGTGTTGTTTAAATTCATTCTGCTTTTTGGGAGGGATCATTATTTATTAGCTATGATTCGATACATCCCGTTTAAGTGAACGGCAAATGTGATGGTTAATTGGTATCCTCTAGAGGAGAAAACAGAAATTGAAATCATCCAAAGATCTGAATATATCTCAGATATCAAGAGTAGTAAATCAGTTGGTAGAGATCTGGTAAAAGGTGGCCAGGAACAACAACTGTATCTGAAAATCGTTTTCTGACTTGTCGACTTAACGAACGTATGAAGCAATTACTAGAAAATTCGTTTTAGACGTTCTTGCTGCTATGCAAATCGAATCAGCAATTGCTTTCCATACCTCAAGGCTAAATTGTTAAGACCAGTGGCTAAATTGTTAAGACCGCTAAATAAGAGGCATTCATCTTGTGTTCAGTCCCAGTAGAACGGAATGGTTGCATGGGTTTTTTTCCCTACTAGCAGTATGAATATGAGCCAATTTCCTTTAGAAAGTCCTCGACGAAGGCATCTCTCCACTTAGGAAGATGTCCACATATTGCAAGCACCTAACCTAAACATATTGCAAATTATTATTCAGACAAAGAAAGGCATCTTCATTAGACCTCAAAGAAATAAACATAAATTAAAAATCTATGAAAACACTTTTGTTTCAGATACCAGGGCCAGCAATGAGTGCTTTTGCCCATATTTAAGCTTCTATCAAAGCTGTTTTACAATTCCAACGGTGATCAATTCATAATTACGTGATATACAATTCTATGCAAGAAACAATTCTATACAAAAGCAATATATAGCCACAAATTCGATTATACAAAAATATTCACTAAAATTACTATATAAAATGCAAAAAAAAAGAAAAAAGAAAAATTTATTACAAAAAACAGATAACATTTAAGCAGTATATAAAAACAGCAACATCATTAAATAAACTAAAACACTTACAGAAGTATCCACCAAATATTTGTGTGCATATTTAAGTACAATTTTCTACACTTTTCAAGCTTAGTTTGCTAAAAAATCTCGTTAAATCAGACTTTTGACTGCTCAGAATTTTTTCTTCCTTATTCTAATTTTAGCTTATCAAATTTTGCATGTATTTATTTGTGCATGTGATAAACTTTTAAAGAACTGCAAATGATACTCTTAGGTTGATTTATTTGCTACGATTTTACTAAATTCAAATCAGAAATGCACGCCGATAAATATATTTATTTCATACTATAAATGCAATTATTCTTCTAAAATCCTTAAATTTCAGTTTATTTTATCGTGTCATCAATTTCAAACAGTTAATGCCTTAATGTCTGTTTTATTCCTTGACTTTATACATTACTTTAAAGAAACGCGTAGAATATCTCAGGTAAAATCACATATCAATAATTTCACTCTCAGTATTAACACCAACAAATGACAGCAACAATGACAATAACATTAACAACAAAAAAGTTAAACAGTTAAACTTTACTGAAAAATATAATACACGCCGCTTATAAATATATTTTATCAGCTAAATATTGTAACAGATATTCATAAAATTCTTAATTATATTAGTAACCATGTCATATCTTTCAGAGATGCAAAATTGAATTTTAAATAATTAAAGAATCTACTTTTGCCTTTTTAAAATTATGTACTTTGTTGAATGGCAACACTTTGAAAACTGGTTGTTTACAATGCTGCGGGAAAGGTAAGCAAAAGATGTCATGTTTAATGTGATGACAGCACTTAAGTTGCATAAATATTAAATACATGTGAGCAAAACGTAATGTAACGTGATACTCCCAAAACTTTGCAAGTTCCTTAAATTAGTAGACTTGTACGTATCCAACGTGATCAGAAGGTTGTTGATGCTTGTTCCTTGATCTATTGCACCAAGATATTTTACTGTACATTTATTTACAATTTATTTACAAGTCGTATGCCACTTGGCATATTTACAAGCGTTATGCCTCCTGGCATGTACATGATAGACATATTCTGCCACCTGGCATGTGAATTGATACATCATACTAGTTTTCTGCCAACTGACAGATACGATGCAATTACCTCAATTAGTGGTTATACGCCCGACATTTTGGCGTGTCCGCTTCCGTTCTGTAACGCAACTAACTTTTTCTGCGGTGCGCCCTCTGGGCACAAATCACCGCAATCACCGAGGAGGCCAAAACATCCTCCCCCCCCCCCGATGAATTACATTCATCTTAATACAATCTTCAATATATGCAAACAAGTAAATGAAAAATATAGAAACTGAAAACATACAAAAACCTTCAAAAAGTATAAAATTACATGTTACACTTACCAATCTTCTAGCAAAACATCTTATATCTTACTATATTGAAACGTTAACTATGAGGGTTAAACTAGAACAAACAAATAAAATTATTAGTACAATAAGAAATGAAAATAATAATAAAACATATTCAATATGAAACCAAACACTTAAGTTAATGTTCTTCAACTGGTAAAAGACACAGTTTGGTAATAGGACGTTTAATGTCCCCGTGCACAGTTTTTAGTCTAACCACTCGGACATTATTGTCTCTTCCAGGAAACACTTCTATTACTCGCCCGAGTTTCCAACGTAATGAAGGCATATTATCTTCTTTAATGAGAACCAAGTCATTTAGACGAATATTTCTGCTAGGCTGTCTCCATTTGCTACGCTGCTGTAGTTGGCACAGGTACTCTTTAGACCACCGCTTCCAAAACCCTTGGAACATCTGCTGTGTTAGTTGCCATCTTTGCAATGGAGACACTCGTACTTCGGTTAAATCTTGTTCCGGAACAGCTGTTAAAGAAGTCCCTATAATAAAGTGTCCAGGAGTCAAAGCTGTCAAATCATTGGGATCACTGGAGACCGGTGTTATTGGCCTCGAATTTAAGCATGCTTCAATTTGTGCAATTAGAGTTAGAAACTCTTCATAAGTCAAAATTTGAGTTCCAACACATTTCTTTAGATGCAGCTTCATAGATCTAACAGCTGCTGCCTCCCATATACCACCATGATGTGGAGCAGCTGGCGGGTTGAATATCCACCTTATGTTTTCATTTGCTAACCACCTTTGAAATTCTGAGGTTGACTGGACAGATGAAACTGCTTCCTTGAAGATTTTATTTGAACCTATAAAATTAGTTCCACAATCACTTCTTATTTCTTGAGGTTTTCCTCTCCTCGAAGCAAATCGTTTTAGAGCAGCTAGGAATGCTTCACTTGATAAGTCGCTAGCAATCTCTAAATGGATAGCCTTTGTAGCTAAACAAACGAAAATACAGATATCACATTTAATTGGTCTTATACCTCTTCCCCTTTTCATTTTCACAGAAAATGGGCCGGCATAATCAACGCCAACCTTTGAACTTTGAAAAGGTTCTACTTGGAATCACTCTACTCGCAGGTAGTTCTCCCATTAATTGAATAGATGTTACTGCTCGCACTCTTAAAATTTCGTTTTCATCTAGAAATGGATTAAGTGAAATGATTTTGCTTTTAGTTTTAATCGGTTGTTCTGTCTTTAAAGCCTTAATTTCTTCTGAAAATTCATTAAGTTGAACATTTCTTATAATAAATTCTGAAGCCTTCCGTAACTCATAGGCGGTAAGCACACCAGATTGCTTTTCACGAGCGGATTTACAGTTGTTCACGAAGCGCAGAACATAAGCCATTATTCCCAGTACTTTGGTTAAATTTCCGTACAGTTCAAGATTTAGTAACGGTTCTGTAGATTCCACAAGTGTTTTCAAAGTAACACATTTTACGTTCTTCACTAACGTTTTGCAAGTCAGCTTCGGTATTCATTTCGTTTATGTGATGTCGAATATCTACTTCTGAAAGCCAGGGTGGCCCAGAAAACCAATCACTATCATTAATTAGAGCTTCAGCATTCCATCCCCTCGTAAGTTTATCAGCAGGGTTTGTCTTCCCACTGCAAAAGTACCAGTTGTTTAAAATTTGTTTTCTCCTTGATTTCTTTCTACCACACGATTTCTAACAAATTGTTTTTCCACTCGTTGGCAGATCCCTTGATCCAGTGAATGCAAATTTGGGAATCAGTCCAGTAAAATATATTTCCCTTATCCAACTGCGGAAATATCGATTGCAAATACGAACCTAATCTTGCAGAAATTAATGTTCCCAAAAGTTCAAGCCTAGGGAGTGTTACCCTTTTTAATGGAGCCAAACGGGATTTCGACATTATTATGAAACTTGTTTTATATTTATTTTTCTTCTTAAATCTAAAATATGCTACGGCACCATAACACTTGGGACTGGCATCAGAAAATATGTGAACTTCTATAAACTTCCAACACATATCACTGAAGTACTGTCTGGGAATTTCGAAAAACTTTATTTTTTTTTCAACTTCTTTTAACCATTCCTGAAATATGAATTCTGTATCAAGGGGAACACTTTTCGTCCCATTGAATACCCTTTTCCCACATAGTTTGCATTAAGAGTTTAATTCGAACAGTAAATGGATTCATAATTCCTAAGGGATCAAAGAGCATACCACATGCTGCTAAAATGATGCGTTTAGTTACTTTGAGAT